AGTTCATGCATGGACCACAGCTCATACATCGACCGGCTACATCCTAAAGTTAATAGACCGTAATAATATAATCCACTCTACACTAGCTTCTCTATTCTTCCCTCAGATGCCCTCACTGCAACCAGACAGGTATATCTGTGGACCTGTGGTAAAAGGTGTTAAGGGGGGAAGAGCAACAAAGAAAGAGTAAATTAGACCAAAGGAGGGCATTTTTATCAGTGCACAAATGAAAAGCTTAAAAATTGAGGGTTAAATAATTAATTAACCAAAACTACTATTACAATTCACAATCAGTTTCTAAATTGTTGATGAAACAACTCAAAGCAAACAGGTTAATTTGATTTTATCAATGTGAAATGCAGCTAAATTGATCAGATGAGATTTTGGTGCAAGATCACCTTTTCCTCCATAAGAAGTTAAGGTTACCGTTAAAGAAGATACATGGTACCTGTGCCTTACAATCCAGTGCAATATCCCTACAATAAATACTACCTTTGTGACATTTTTAAGGTTTATTTTGTAAGTAACAAATACGCAACTGTCTTGTTTATATATAAATGGAGGAACCTGTCAGTCTGTATTTCGATTTTCTCAACAACCGCTCATCCGATTGACTTCAAACTTGGCAGGTGTATTGCTGTGCACTGTCAACAAATCAATCTCCAATCTCTCCTCTTATTTCTGTAATATTTCCTAAGACAAACCATCAAAGAAAGTCATTTTCCACAAATTGCATCAACAAAAACATTGAAAATCAAGTATTTCAATGGTTGAAATCACACTAATGTTCTCATATACAGTATCTGAAATAAATACAGTGGGAGGTTTCTGGCTTCCACATGAGCCCAATAAGGTTTCGATCAGTATAAAGACTATTTTAGATGTTTTTCATTATAAGATGAATAAATGATGAATTTACCTATATTAAGCACAATCAAGTTCTCTGGATCTGTAAAGTACAGACAGTGAACCCAGGAAACGGTTGTGTCATACTTGAGTGATGCACAGTGGGCTGTCAACTGTTACAAGTTGTGTGTGTGCATGCCGTCTTATGTGCGTACGTTTGTGTATGAATGCCTTGTCTGTGTATGTGTCTACGTGTGCACATTAAAGTGTGTGTGCATGTTTGTGTTCTGCATGTCTTGTGTGCTTGTGCAGGCGCGTGCTGGTGTGCAAAAGGTGCTCCCCGTCGTGTCGGCCGCTCCACCATGCCATCTGGAGAGGAAATCGAGTGTGAAGTACAGTATAGTTTGGGACCAAGCTCCGTGGCAGTGGCTCAGCAGTTAGTTCATTAGTTCCAAACTTCCAGGGATTAGGAGAGAATCTCTATGGCAGGGAGGCAGGGGGGAGTCAGGGAGGATGGAGGGACCCATGTGGGGAAAAGAGAGAGCAAGAGAGACAGAAACACCAGGAGGAATACTGGACCATAGGGCACTAAGAGACAGAGAGAGAACATGAGAGAGAGAGATAAACAATCTTAACCCTGAAGACCCTGGAGAGGGGAGACGAGTGAGAGAGAGGGACAATGAAAGAACAAGGCGGCAAGAGAGAGAGGAGGAGAGAGGACAGGTGTAGCCGTCAGTTCCGCTCTGGGGTTTCAACCTGCCCTCCCTCTTCCTCCACCCCACTGATCATACAGATATGATGATATGTGTAAGAGTGTTAGAGCAGTCAGCCTTGTCTACCCTCCCCTCTCCTCCCCCAACTCTCCCCTCTGGGTCCGTGGTGACAGTTAGCGAGCTCTGGGTGGCTCCTACCCTTTACTCCTTTTCTTATCTCGCTGCCTCTAAAGCAGCCAGCATTACTGCCAAGACTGAACGTAGACATTTTTCGAGTCAAAGCTGCAGTCAATTAAAGCGGGCACTCCCGGATTTTAATTTCCAACAGGAGGGGGTGGACTGACCTTCATTGCGTACCTTTTTGTCATGAATATCCTTCCCTGTTTTAAGGTGAAGGTGAGAGATAATGAAAAGAATACATTAATGAACACATTACAGGAAGGTGGTTTGGGGCAGTAGCCCTACTTAAGGCCTAACCCATTGTTTCCTTAACCAAAGCAGTGGTTCAGGGCGGCATTTAGTGAGCTATGTCTACTCCCATTCTCTCTCCATGCATAAGACATGAATTGAGGGTTCTTTATTGAGGCCTGGCATGTCTTGACAAACAAACAGTGCCGAATGTGTGGTTGTCATAGTGAATATAATCGCAGCTACTGTATAAATTATAGACATTGTCTGAGCAAACATTATAATGTGTAAGTTTTTCCACCATTACCATTCTCACAAAATTCAATGTTTTCTCTGCATCTGATGGTGATAATCTCACAGGAGCCATATGTATTGATCTCACTAATGCCTTTGACCATGTGGATCACCATGTCCTTACAGAAAAACACAATGCTGTTAGCCTTGCAACATGCATTGTGGTTTAGTCTGTATCTTGAAATGAATGACCTCTTATGTGTGCAATATTCTTAACTGGCATCACTTCAGGGATTTTATGATCTGAATTCTTATTGAAGATGGACTCAAACTGTCTCCACACATTCATCGTTTTAGCCAAATGATAGTTGTCATGTCTCTTTCCCTCTGCCCAATAAAATTCCGTCTGCACATTTTACACCATGTCTACACAGACGGGGTAGTAAAAGTTGTTCATTAGCAGTACAGCTTCTGTATTCCAACAGTGTCTGCAGCCACTGTGAAGAGCCAAGTACACAATCACTGCATGCAAAATTCAACAAAATAAATAAATCTTATGAATATGCTTTCGGTCAAGGAAAGCTATAAAATGGACAACGCAAATGAACAGCTGATGCACCTCTATGTAAGCCTTTACACCTCCTAATAAACAAGTGTTGAGTCTTTCTAGTAAAATTTTCTAAAATTCACTGAAAGCCATGCTGCATGACTATAAATACAAAACTTTTGACCTTTTAGTTAATATGGACAAGTTAAATTTGACAATTTAATGCCAGAAGAGCAGCAACAATTCTTTAATGAATTTCTCTTGTGTACAGTGCATTCAGAAAACCATTGGGGGAAAAGGCCTTTGAGGTGACCACAGTGGTTGAGCTCCAGAAATTCTGTGTGCAGACGGTAGAAACCTTCAGTGGAGCAACAGTCACTGAAACTCTCTGATCTGATGAAACCCAGATTGAACAGTTTGGCCTCAATTCTAAGTATGATACCTGGAGGAAGACAGGCACGACTCCATACCATTCCAACTTTGAAGCATGGAGGTGGCAGCATCATACTGTGGGGGTGTTTTTTCAGGGGGGACAGGGAAACTGGTCAGGTTTGAGGGAAAGATGAGTACGACATATGCTTATTGAAAACTGGGTCCAGAGCACTCAGGATCTCAGACTGGGCCAAAGGTTTTCCTCCCAATAGGACAACGACCCAAATGTGAGAAATAAATCAATGCTTCTTTGTGGCCTAGCCACTTGAACCCAATCAAAGATCTCAAGAGAGCCCTGACAATGGCTGTCCAATGACAATGTCCGTCCAACCCGACAGAGCTTGAAATTAGTTGCAGAGACAAATTGCAGAAAATCCTCATAATCAGGCCATAAAAGCTTGTTGCTACAATTCCAAATTTAATAAATAGGACCAATAAAAAGGACCAAAAAAATGTAATATATTATTAGGAAGAAAATGCTTTCAAATTACAAAGTACTTTCTGTCACACACAGAAAGTACTGCTTATCCAACACAAAAAAGTATCATCTTAAGGGAAGGTATAACTACACAACAACCCCCATGGATTTCCATTTGCCACAGTGGAGGAAGAAGCTGAGAGTGTGGGAGTGAAGAAAGGATGCCGGTAGGAAAGGTGCATTTTGTTATTGAGTAAATAACATTTTTTTTTATATTACACAGTATGACCAAGCAAACACATAATGGGTTACAGGATTCTGGCACATTGGGTTGACTATGGTGTGAATAAATGGCTCAAATCAGATCTGATGCCATTTTTTGCACCATGTAGTAACAATGCAGCTGGCAGAGAAAATTACAGCACTATTACCCAGAATTTATTGGTATTTTTGTAGGTATAGCTATTTTGATTACTTGTGTAATTGAGTGGAAGAAGGAGTAGCCAACTAAGGGAAATTATTATAGTTTATTTTTGAAATGGCATACAGAGCCTGATTGCAAAATTGCTAAAAGAGAGTCCTTAGAAAAAGATAGGAAAAATGAATCCCATTACAGTCAATTGTTTTTTTAATAGAAATAGTTTTAGCTCATGTGAAATGAGTGGTTTGGTGAACAATAGTGGATTGGAGGAGGTAACATTTGTTGTAAGTAAGATAAAGATATGAACCTGTCACATGCTGACAGCTAAAGAGTCCAGCGTCTGAACTCTCCTGGTGCCTGAATGGCTGCTTCAGTGCTGCATTCCTCTCCACATTCCCCCTCTAAAAATGTAATAATGACGGAAGCTCTGACTTCCACCAACTCCATCACGGGGTCACGGTTTTCAGCCTGTCAGTCACCCAGGGCATCATCTTATTGTCTTTGTCCACTACAGGAACAGCCTCGGGCCATTTCAATCATCTTTATTATCATGACTTAAAAACCTTTGTTAGTTAACTTTTACCCAGGCCCCTTCTTTATCCCACACACCAATCACAATTTCATGGGCAGTTCAGGAGGGCCAATGGGGAGGTCGTGTGGGCGGGAGGAGAATGCTTTTAACCTGCTGCATCTGGTGCTTTCCCGCTGCTCGCCCAGTGGGACATGGTCACCTTGTTTTAAAGAACTCTGATAGGGGGGAACCACTTCCTTTATGCCATCATAATGGGGTGAAATGTGCTTGTTTTAAACATGTCACTTAGGTAGTTTTCCTTTCAGTGATTAAGACCAAGCACCTGTCTGAAGGAGGGAGATGGAATAATAATCATTCAGGATCGCACAGCTGTCCGTGTGTTTGTGTGCACTCCTTCCTGATCTGTTCAAACTAAGCTGCTCTTCGCTGATACATGTGCATTTGTGTACCTTTTTGCTGAGGGCTACACCATCCTCACAGTCCAGGACGACACAGTCGACATCCAACGAGGCCAGCTTCCTCAATTTTCGCTCATCATTGCCAGGGCAGTAGAGAACCGCCCTGCGGGGTATGTAGCGCAGCAAGGAGCCTGCAGAGTGATGGTGATGACGCCATGATCCGAGATAGAACTTCCAGGCTGCAGGCAGGAGCCAACCGCTTGCCCTTAAAACACACATATATACATATATAAATACACATGTGTTTGTTTGACCACACAAATATACACAACACTCAGGCAGGGGTAAATATGAAGTACATATTTAAGTGCATACATGAGTCATGAGTATGCTCAGTATTAACATTAAGGGCAACGAATAATTAAAGGTTGTTGCTGTATTCATCTTCATAATATCCACAGTGTATATGAAGATCCGGCATAGAAAGCCACATCCTCCAGACTCAAGTGAAAGTCTGGAAACGTTTCATTTTGGGAGTTCTGTTTGCCCTTCAGCTATTCATTGAAGTGGATGAGAGACGTTGACCTGTGCTTTGAGAACAAACTCACCCAAACACTGAGCCACTCATATGCTAATGCAGCCACACTGCTGAATATCTAGGCAGGACAGAAAGTGAATGAGGAGGGGTGTCGGTGTTGACTGGGGCTGACTCATCGAAAAAAAACCACTAAGTTTGTACTTAATTTAAGGCCAAATTACAAATCTTTATTTATTTTCCTATGGATACTGTGGATGAAAACATACTTAATAGAAAACTCTTTACTTTTAGACATTTCAGTTGGATTAAATGCATCCATAAAAGATGTTTTACGGAGTTGTATTTCAAAATATGTTACTCTTCCAGTCACACAAAATAAATTACGTACAGTAAAGCCTTGTCAAAGCAGTTTTTAAGAAGTGATTGCAATGCATAGTAAACTAATGAATAAATCTGTAGAACCTTGATTGTTTGAAAAACAATCCCTTCTGAATTTAAATCTCAATATAGCTATAGAGGACGCAATTTAACTTTTTACATTTTAAATATTGAATATATATATATATATATATATACACACATATATTTATATGTTTTTGCTCTTCAGACCGGGCTTCTTAAAAGTTTTGAGAAAAACATGCAACAGACAAAATTTTTTGTTTATTTTTCACACAGCATTCGAGGACACACGACATCACAAACACACAGTAAAGTCGGATTGTGTACCCTCTTCCATCCACACACGTGCACATCAACAATCACAATCATTGCACACACATCTCAATGATTTGTATCATCAATGTGGCTTCTGAAACAACTGATAAGTAGCCAAATGTCTAGGGATCAGGTTTATGTAATTACAGCGAGAAACAACGTCGATGAACCATACTGAACCAAAAAGAGAAAGAAAGGAGGGGAGGGGGGTTATTTCTTCTGTTACAATAGGGGATGAATTATGCTCTAAAGTCACTTCAATAGCCACTTAATCCTGTCAACTACGCTTCCACATGCCCTCCAGTCTGAGGCCTAATCTAAACTGAGATGCTGTGGTTGCGAGCAGGCAGTTCAAACCAATTCAGGTTGCTTCCAGCAATTTAGTGCTTCCAGGTACATGGGAGACTATCTGAGCCAGGGACAGTATTCACAAAAGGCTTGGGGAGAAATATGGCAAAGGTGGGAGGGATAACTATGGCGCACCACCATGCAATTTGTGGACTATACTGAAAATAGGCAGTGCTCACAATAATCTACAGGGTCCAAGTTGATGGACAAGAAATTAAAAAAAAAAACAAGAAAGGAAAGTAGCAGGTTGGAAGTGGGGGTGCTGAGTGGTAGGGGGCAAGAGGGGGCTGTTGAGATCTAAAAGAAATCAGTCTATTCTGTGCATACTGCTCAGGGGGGAATGTTGAAAAGACACATTAAGTGCCCACTTAAAAGAAAAATATTATAATATAACTGCAGTACAAAAAGATGGTGACAGTAATTTAAGGGTGGGTTTCATTAAGAAGGGAAAAACTGAAATGGGGAGAGAGTGGTACCTTGATGTTGGCTATAGGCAGTGCTCTAGAAGCAGAGGTCAATTACAAAGGCCAATATCAGCATTTCTCTCCTTTAATTCCACCATTCTACCTCATCATTTTAAAATGCCTGATCTAAAAGTAAACTGAGCTGTTGGCATAAGTAATATTTCCACACTAAGTGTATTTACACCACCCTGTGTGGTTGACATTTCCCCAATAATAGATGACAATCGTGTAATTAACAGTCCCTAAAGTACCATTTGGCCAATGTTACAAATTTCTTTCCCTCTTTTTATTTTATTTTTCTTTACATGAAAGGTTATGACAACATGGGGATGTGTGGGCATTTTAGCAGCTGTAAAGTGGTGGGACCTAGCCACAGTGACAATGTTTACTGGTCTGAGATCATAGGGAAGTGTGTGTTAGCGGGTTTATATGTTGCTGGATGGGGATGGTTCTCATTAGTGGAGACGAGGCAGCAGACCCAGGCCGAATGGCACAGAGAGGAAGAGGATGAGGGTAGGGGAGTGGAATGTGGTAAGAGGGTGGTGAGCTTTGCGTTAGACGAGACATGGATTTTCCTGAGCCCTGTTGAGTGTCAATTCAGACACAACAGTGATGTTGTCATGAACAACCCAAATTTCTGATCTTATAAGATGTATCACAGTTCTCCATTCTTTTCAATGCAAATTATTGTCTGTTTCCCTTCTGGCATTCACAGTCAGTGTCTGTAGTGTTCAACTACAATAAATCTACCGCTTGAACTTCACATCTAATCTTCACCACAACTATGACTGATGTGCACGTTCGCTATATTCAGCTCCTTCTTTTTCACGAGTTTGAAATCCCTCTATCATGTAATCAACACAGGGTTACAGATAATTCTTAAGGTAACTGATAGCATGTCAAACGATGGAAAGGTTCTTGAAATCACAACTACTAGTCTTTAGCGTGTCCTCTTTTAAATTTCACAACTCACATTTCAGGGTTTTGTAAACATGTAAAATAAATGTATCCCTGAGATAAGCACTAACCATTTCTGGTAATTTCTAAGTGTACACCAGTCGTGGTTATCAGTGGTGATAGAGGGTGGGAGCTTCCAAACATCAGACGTCCTGGATCAGTCCCTTTACATTTAATAGGTTCTTTTCTGGCCCATATACAATCCTTTTCAGTAAGTTTCAAAGAAAACTGTTCTGTAGTCTTTTTCCCCACCAACAAACAAACAGGGTGAAAGCATAACCTTCTAGGCGGAGGCAAACGTGACTCACGTTTTCAAAAAGGCACTTTTGCAGTGGATTTCTTGTGTCAAACTTGGAATTTGTGAAATATTATGGTATTGCCACTATATGTTTAGTATTATTAGTAGTGTCCCCTTGGGCCGTGCAACGGAATGTGCTCACAAAACAAACTAAATGCTAAATACTATGCTTCCACAGCAGCAGCATACAATATATTAGATTTTGATAAATAATTCATTTGAAATAAGGTGACTTATTGTGGACAGGGAGTAAATACTGTATAACAAATAGCTGTAATAATTGCTTCATTATCATGACGTGATGATAACTATTTCCTGTGACTCCACTGGCCTCCACCTGGCAACATAATAGCCTAATTCAGGTGGTAATATTCATCCTACCACATGAATTACAGGAGATAACCACAGAGCCACTCGAAAACAGGCCCTGACGACAGCCTCCCTCTCAATATGTAGATTTCCACAATTATCTCCAACATGGTGGTGCAGGCACAAGCTGTGTCTAAAATGCAAAAAATTAAAGATCTGTGTTTGTGCCCCATGATAATCAGCTACTTCTTAATATGCAAACTACATTCTGAGGTCTGTGGTGCTCAAGATTCCAGATTAAATTTGGTGAAAATAAAGATGAATAAAGAGTAGGTGGGAAATCGATATTGTTGAAGCATTGACAGGCCCTTTGTCTGCAGAAAGCTGTCCACGGGTGGGAAATAAAATGGTCAAGAAGTCATTAATATTTACCTAGCCTCATGTCCACCTGCCTGTCTGACACTCTTTTTTGTTTTTCCGAATGAAAGAGAGCTGAAGCATTCCCCACACATGGTCTTCCTCACAGCATGATGCTGTATGTGTATGTTTTGCTTCTTTTTTCCCCTCACTGCCTCAGGTCTGAGGACACAATTGGATGGCAGAAAAATCCTGAAAAATTAAGCAGAGACACCTAAGACAGGGAAAGGAAAGAATCAAACACTTGTCTTCTACTCTTTTTCTTCTCTGCCCCCTGCTTTCATTGCATGCCCTCCAGCAAAGTAGAGCTTGGGATGCACACTCCATTCCCCTGTAGATTAGATCAGGAGGGGGCTGCAGAGTTTACTGGTTTGCTGGTCTCTCTTTTAGGGAGGTGCAGGACAGACAATAGCATACTGGACTAGCAGATATTTTGTTGATGATGACTGTACAAAGGCACCAATCAAACAACATGTTCAGGGGTGTTAAGAAAGCAGCACACTATTTCTCTCAGTAGCAACATGAACACTTCTGCTCATGCATTCATTCACCATCATCATAAAAATGCAATAAGAGATCATGATTTATGTTATTTTAACCTGAGTCTTGAGCCATTTCACTAAATGTAGCATTTCATGTTTCGAGCATGCATGTTTTATCATCCTATTCCTCAGATTATAGCACCACCAGCCCAACATCCTCTGTCTCACTTTAAAAAGCAGAATCCAGTGATGTTGTGTCTCTGCCCATCAACAAAACCTCTTACTCATTGTCCTATCCATGTCTTCCCCTCTTTTCTGGTCTCATTAGTTTGGCTTTTATGCCTTAATCTACACAATGAGGATGAAGTCATGGCGGTTATCTTCAGCAGCCAATGTCTTTCTACCTGTAATCCTCCCCAAAGTCCCCGGCTCACAAATCGGCACACAATGCCTTTATGCAAGGCCTCTGCCGTAATGCCCATTGATGACAGCAGACTTCTTTTCTTTTTTTTTTTCCCCTCATGCCTCCGCATTAAAACTATTTAAATCCCACTCCTCTTTAGATGAACAGAGATGTCTTTATCCCAGTCTCAGGACAGGGAAACGTCAGATAGTAAAAGGACATAAGAGTCCACAAGCTGAGCTTGGTGATGGGCAGTTGTCACCCCAGCTTGATAAATCCGTTCAATTCATTACTCATCATGTTGTGACTTATACTATAAATAGTCTAAATTAATTATAAATACATAGGCAAATTATAGATTTCAAAATGAAATTTGTAAAAAATTATACTTTACATGACGTCTCAAAAACAATGAATGTATCTTTAAAAGTTAATTGAGAGGGGAACTTAAAAAGGTCAAGCAAGTCGCTCCATTCGAGGAGGGCATAAGGGGGTTAGCTTTTAACTTAGCATTTTTATTGACTCTGGCAAAACAAAATGAGCGGGCTCTGTAGGATTGTGCACTCTGCATTGGCCATTCAGGGCTTCAGAGCCCCATTGTAGTACTTTGAAGAGAATGAAAGGAAACCCCACTGGTGGAAATGCAGTGGAACAGCCCCACAACAGGCCACAACTGTTCCCTTATGCATGAAAGGCAGGGACATAAAAGACAAGATGGACTTCTGAGGTAGGGCCAAAAACAAAGGCAACAAAAGTGCTGATCACGAGGGGATGACACGACTCGTCTTGGCAGAAGGAGCAGGGAGAAAAAGGGCAGGAGACAATAGCACTCCCGGCCAAATGACATGTTGAAGAATTGAAAAATCCACACAAGAAGTGTCTTCTCAATTCACTAAACCTACAAGAGCTGGGTGACTGTCGGCTGGACCCTGGTCAGCCTGAGGGGGGTCCGACAATAACAGCCCACAGCTTTTCTCTCTCTCTCTCTTAACTTTCATTCCTAAATCGTTCTCTGTTTTGGCAAACAACTTGGCAAGGGCAAAGATGGACTGGGGTGATGGCTTTAGTCCGCATACACCAAACCAAATCAAAGCATGGTGGGTTCCGCTCCCACAGCTTCCGTTTTGATCTGTTGGCTGTCTGTGTGTCTGATCTGTTTCTGTTTATGGCCTAAGCACAATTATGCTACTGCATAACCTCCATGGAAACAGTCAGACGAACAAAAACATGTTTTCTCTCATTGAAAAAAGCATCTTTGTTTTCAGTGACACAGTGAATGCTGATATTTGAGCCAATGTTTCAAAAGTCATACAGAATAACATTTTGTTAACAAGAACACTTCCTGCCGATTTACACCCTGTTGGCTTCTAGGCTGGGAACGATTGTGTGTTTCTGATATCCTGTCATAGATATGAGTAAGCACATACACAGCTTTATTTTCATAATCGCATGTGTGTAATACCTTTAATCAGTTGTTAGTTTTAATGAAAAATGTATCCATCCATGCATCCAGGGGATGAATTTTAAGAAATCAGCTTTAAATTAATACATAATTATTCCACACAAAAACATCACGCAATGTGTAAAATAAAAGTTGTCCTTTCTTGTGAATAAAAACCTACACATACCTTTAAAGTAAGGGCTAGTACTAGTTGATAAGTCACTTGCTCACCCGTGCACTCCACAGGTAAAGGGCCTCCTCCTCGATAGCCTGAGGCCTATCCCACAATTCTTCACACATACCCACAGGCCCTTTAACTGGCCATCACTCTGTCTGATTAATGGATCGATGTGGTAATTGATTAGTGAAGAGGAGGTGGGAATGAGAACATAGGTCAAACGTCAATAATGTCCCCCCGACAAAAGGTGGAAGACGTAAAATGTACCAGTGATAGCCTCCAGCCAGACCTCTACCCATCAAAGCCTTGGCAGGACTTACATAAAGGCCCCGGCCCATTCTCTTGCTCGCCCTGCCCTCCCTCCTCAATGCTCCTTTTCTCTTGGTAATGCTGTCTGTTAAAGTGACAGGAACCATTCTGGGAGCTGCTTGTCAGCTCACCTTCATAAAACAAGCCGTAAAGCAGCAAATAACAGGCTTATATGGCTTCATTATACTGGCTATGCAGGATCACAGCTCTAGGCTGGGGGTGGGGGGGTGGTGCTGGTAGCAGAGAGGCGGGGAGAATGTTGGCAGGACAGCCTGGTTCTCGTGATGGTTTGTTGTCCCAGCGGCTGTCACCATGTCCATGTTTGCTCAGGATAGAGGACCACTTGACCCCCATCAACTCTGTATTCGCCAAAATCCCAAGCAGGACAAACAAAGAGGTATGACTCACTATGAAGATGTTGTCACAGTTCAGTCTAATGACACTTCATTAACTTTGCCACACATAATTTGTATGCTCTGCTATACTTAACAAGCTGTTAGACTTCAAACATTATAATTTGAGGCCTCTAACAAATATCATCCGTAATCAAGAACAAAACCATGATGGTGTATCCAAATGGTAAAAAAAAACAAAACAAAAAAAAAATGAGGAGAACAGGGCCAGATGGAGCATACATCTGCGATAGTAAACCTTTGGCCATGGCAGCGCCGGACGTGAGAAAGATTCTCATTTATTTCATGCAAATATCTTTGGGCCATTTCACAACCTGACAGTGGGGGTTGCAAGGTGGTCATTATCTCAGGTTGTGTCTCCAAAACATTTCCCCTGTTTTTCAGAGTCAGCCACGGGTTTCTGGCAAAGACATCCGCAGCAGCAGCAGCAGCAGCAGCAGCATTAAGGTGCTCTCACCAGTCCGAGGCAAACGAAGGTCCCTATCCTTCCAATGCAACTCATGACATTTCCCCACAGATGTGTTTCAAAAGGAAATTCAGATTTTTCTCAGGGTAACAGCTAGAATGTCCTTTTCAAAGAGCAACATCACTGCATACATATATGATGTGTGATTATTATCACATATACAAAATGACTAAGGCTCCATTAAGGTTCAAAGCTTCAGCAAGAACTATAAATAGGCTGCTGATATTAGCAAGTCAAATATGCAGCATAATGCTTGCAGAACATCTGGTAGTCAAGCTTACACTATGTTCACCAGAGTAACTGTCCCTTTATGTGCTTATCTGCCATGTGCCCAGTCCCAGTTGTGTTGAGATCAGTCACTTATCTCTTTAGCAAGGCTCTGAGGCAGCGGTACAAGCGCCATCGCTGTGATCATTGTATAGTTAATTGTCACCTCCATCAACATTAGCACTCTCTAACATGCTTACCAGAGGGGGAAAAAGGGGGGAACTGACTGCACGCTCTATTCTGAAGCTGACACTTGTTCTCTGAGGGGCGGTATTCGGTGTCAGGATTACAGTGCACAGGAGAAAAGAGGCGGAGGGGAGGTGGGGAGCATTCCCTGCAACTCATGTCACCGGGTCTCTCTGTAATGGCAGCAAAGGGAGAAAAAGAGAAGGAAAAGAGACAGGGTGCCAGGGAGGATTGATGGGTGTTTACTTTTTTCAAGCAGTCTCTCAACCAATGACAGCGCAAAGAGACCAGCATTCACTGGGACTATGCTCCTTTCACAGTTTGTCATGGGCCAACTGAACAACCCACACTCATTATGGCTGTTGATACGAACTCTGGCCATATAGTAACATGACCATACACAAGTTACGTCACTGATTTAAGCCTATTTGGATATAAACTCCACATCAAATAAGACAAAAGGTTGAGAAGGGTTCAGTGTAAAGACAGTGACACACACAAAATATATTAAACACATTTGGCAAAAGGCCAAATGGATTTAAATGTGTCGCCACCAAACCATATGGAACAACACACCTGAGCCTAATCTAACAAACACTCCAGCACCCACACATACATATTCTGGCCTGCACACAGACGCACACATCAAGACTGTAAAACAGCATTGCCATCTTGAGCCCTCTGGATCACCGGGGGCCATCTGACACTGTGGAGCCTTGAATGCATTAAGACGGGCAAGGTGGCAGCACTTTCCATCTCAGCTAGCACAGTTACATAACCCTCCATGATATGAATGCATTAACAGTATTAGTTCTGCAGGTGAGAACACTTCTCTTCACTGCTTATAAATGTTACCACCTCACGTTTATTTAATAGATATTGTTGCTGCAGGATGTCAAACCCACTTCAGTTAAAGTAAAACAACTGTTGAGACCCAGGCTGTTGACATGAACACAATTTTATTTTATTTTTTTTGAATACCCATCTTGAAAATGATTTCATTTATGCATACATCCACTCTGCTAAGATCTGGAGTTGAAACAAAGG